AACAATCATTCACTTGACTCTGATGATGACTTCCGCACAGGTTGTCGAAACGTCAGTCACTACCACCGACAACATTCCTTCTCAGGACTACACTCACCCGGACGATCAGACTACACCTTCACACATTCCTTTCGAATAAACAACCAGACTCGTCGCTTGTCTGGGCCCCCTGTGGTTTTTAGAAAGGATGACTAGGTCATGCTGTGTGTTTGTGCACTGAGTTCTTAAAGGTTAGGTCCGGTTAAATCGCTGGTGTTCCTCATGGTAATTTTAAAGAAGAAGCAGAGTGCGTGGCGATTAAAATTCACGATTTTAGGGTGTCACGTACTGTTTTGTATGCTGCGAGGTTAGCCATGGAACACACAATTGTTCTGATAATTAAATCAGCTACTTTGACAACTATGATTGTTGATGCCAAAAAACTTATTAAATGACACTGTCTGGAAACCGCCGGCCTATCAGCATTTCCTGTAAATTAGGTAACTGGGTCATCGAAGAAGCGCCCGGGCGCTTATTTAAAGAATCGGAAAAAAGAAGGGATACTTGGAAAGAGGACACTTAAATTGAGGGGGGGGGGGGCGCTAATTAGGTTAGCGCAGCAATGGAACGAAAATTGAAAGAGCAGATAATGCACGTAAGGGATTTCTGTTAGCACATGGATTGATTGGGACGGAAAAGAAACTTTTCTTCTGTACTGATTATTCTGTAACTTTCCACGTTACCGAAGTGAGCATGAGCGAATTTTGGAAGTGAGAGAAGTTTGACGAGGTTTTGGAGCTCCTAGAGGCTGGGTGATTTTCCTTTTTGTATTGAATCACGCTGGCGAAGAGACAGAAACCTTGTCAAATCACTTTACTTATATTTACCTTACACTCAGTGAAGTGGATCAAAGGTTCCAAAGTACATTCCTTATGGAATAATACTCTGGATCACTTGAATAAAGTTAAGATTCAAGCAGATGTGTGATGAATTACCATAATCCTCAAACCCAGTTTCTCTGCCTGTGATCATCTGATCAGCAATTGCGGGCTCAGTTTAATTAATTAGTCTTCCCCTGAGATGCCATACTGAACACCCCTTATCTCAGACCAAAAAAATTACGTCACCAATTAACGTGTTGATATCAATATTTCAATCTCGCTAATAGCAGGCCGCTTAAGCCATCGTTCTGGAGGAAGGATTGAACCTTTTATGGCAAAATAACTATTCTGAGCGACACAAGATATAGGTAAAAACCTTGTGAATTACATGATTAACTTTAATAGTTTTGTTGGTGTAAATCAATGACAAAATCAATGCACAGAGATTGCGGAAGCTGTTGGAGCTCGAATGCATGAGTCTTAGATCATTCAGGCAATATAATGTCTGGCTTTTGGAAACTGTTCCGAGTTATAAATGCTTTAGTTTTGGGCTATCTGAATGTCTGTAGAATGTCCTAATATTTCAAAGTGCTTGCATCAGAATTTTAGTTCGTAATAAGGTTTATCGTCCTTTGCACCGCCGTGAGAAGCATTACCGTTCTATTCCTTGAATTGTTTGAGGGGTAAAGGAACTCATTCAGCTTTCACATGACTACACTGGTTTACAAGCCATTATCCCTCTAAGAACCGAGACTTTGCAATTTGAGAGCGTGCATGGTTAAATTTAAAGTTCGTCCAAAATTAGTCAAATAGTTACCAACTTGTTACGGACTGGTAAGCACTCTGACAATTTTATGTTGGTGGCGTGATCTTGACGCAGACAGGGAATTATTAAAAGCTATCCCGCTGTGAAGTAGAACTCATATTTCATTGAAAAAACTATGAACAGTGTGAAAGATAGTTATCTACGGATTTTAATCCTCAATACGTTCCCCAGACTTACATAGTAACGTTAAGCCTTTATGCACCCAAAGGTGACATTCCAAACAATGAAATGCGTTCTAGAACAAGGCTTCATTGGCATATGTGAAATAACAAAAATTATGCAACTTCTGCAACTTCGTGTACCCTAACACGACGTTATTCCGCTTTCAAATTTGGTGTGCTAGCCGATGGTGCTTTTTATTTTTGAAAATATAAATTTCTCCTTATGTTGTTACGTTTAAGTCTGATAAGTGACCTATTCAAATAAGACGCTTTGCGTCTTTTTCGCGAAGGTAAAATAAAGGTCAACTTCAATGGCCTATAAAGAGGTCTGCCATATCTATTTACAGATCACGATATACATCATCTTAAAGCTTTATCCTTGTAGTCTAGTTCCTCCTATTCTCTATCTTGGCACGCCATTAACAGCGCGTGAGAGCGGCATTGCATTTTTTGTTATGGTAGCCCGAACTCTTTTCAAGCTGGACGCACCGCTTATGGCGGGCCAAGAAAGAAAATTGGAGGAATTAAACTACAAGGGTAAAGCCTTGAGGTGATATATATTATGATCTATAAATATACATACCAGACCTTTGTACGGGCCTTTTAATAGCTCGTGACAGCTATTCAGCAGTTCGGAACAATTTTGTCATCATAGCCCGAACTATTTACAACCTGAACGTTTCACTTATTGCGGGCCGAGAAAGAAAATCAGAGGAATTAGACTACAAGGATAAATCTTTAAGATGATCTATGACCTTTGAAACTCTGCGAAGAATTCTTGAATTCTATCGAGAAAATACATCGGAGATAATGGCGTCCACCAATAGCTATTTATTTCACTAATTCCTTTCTAGTGCGATTTAAACTTGGAACCGAGGTATTTTAAAATCGTCATAGCTAACACTAAAATAAATTTCATAAATAAATTTCATACAAATCATGACAATGTCAGAGTGACTGCTATCATGCTGAGATCCATGGTGATTAGCTCATCATGGCGATATCTGGACATTGCAGTGATGCAAGCTTCGAAAATTACATCGGCTGCCCTTCAAGTGAACTGTACTAAGAGTGAACTGAACTTAAGAAGTCATGTTTTGTGTAGCCGATAGGAGATTTTGCGAGTTTCTTTGGGTGATCGGCAGCTCGCAATAAGTCACTCGATCCACGCTGTCAAGCGGACTAGGGTCTGGAAGCTTGAGAAACGGTTGTAAACTCGGTTGATAATTTTTATGTCTCCAATCATATGCATTGTTGTCGTAATTCGTCTTTCACAGTTGCTGTACCTGACTTGTTTGCTATGATGTGTAGTTGGCCAAGCAGATTCGTCTTCTTTCAAGAAGTGAAGCCCATCCTACTAAATTGTACTCTCAGCTAGTTCTGACGTTGATACGCCTCGAATTGACAGGTCTGCCAGGTTAATATTCCCTGGAACATGGCGCCATTGCCCAGGATTAGTCGTTCTATGTTGTTCCGCGTGGAAAGTAATGCCGACGAACTGATCCACCACAATTATTAAGACGATATTGCAATTATTCGATCTGGAAAAAAGACGATACAAAACCGTTTGTATCTATGTAAAACTAAATTCTCATACAATAATTCGACTCCCAAATAGCTCAAAAATATAATTTGTCAATCATGTTTTACTTACATCTGTGGCTTAAAGGCTTGTTTTGGGTTAGCAACTTATACTAGACCTTTCCCTTTGAAATTGATTTACCGACTGAAAAGCGATGTAAAGGCAAAGCTTAAATGTCAATCAATGTTCTAAATCACGTGATTCTCATTCATTTTTAACAAAACATATGTATCTCCCTCATACGGTTGGCAACTCATGGCTGTGGTTGCGAACCCAATAACATACGTTCTCAGAATCAGTCCAAAATACTTTCTGCCTTGCTAACACGGCTAACACGGTGGGCGAGTCGAGTTGACAGAAGAGCTCCCATGAGTTCAAGCCGAGGAATAATCATCCTTTTTAACGGAGAAACACTGCATTTTGATGCAATGAGACGTGATGGTCACTCTTATTATGTTGTCCGCTTACCGGCAAACCAGATAGGCGACCGATGCATGGGCCTCCTTTGAGGCATCTGAAAAATGGAAATATTCTTAAACAATCTGCAAACCCGAAGGGGGGGTGGGGTGGTGGTGGTGGTCTTTTCTGCAGGATTCCACGCTGCAAAAACTAGTCTTGGTAACTGTACTAAGGGATCTCGGACCTTTTCTGTTATTGAACAGAACAGAACGTTATTTTTACGTGGCACTCCACTTAGCTGAAAGCTACTTTACAGGAAGCCCATCTGTATGGTCAACCTTCTTCTTTCCAAGACTCATTTGTTTCCTTGAGCTCTTTCGCCTCCTCCATTATCTGTACTCGGTTTGCTCAACCCATTCTACTAGGGCTTCAAAGATGTCTTAATTCAAGAGAACGATTCCTCAGGCAATGCTTGTAAGCTTGAAAGTCTTCTTCCTGCAGCTTGAAAGTCTTCTTCCTGCAGCTTCTCTTTCACTGTGAGTTTCAAACTGTGACCATCGATGTAGTTCTTCCACCCTGTTCCACTACTTGCAGAGCTATCGTTACTGTCTCTAGAACACCAAGAGTTTTCCGTATCTACTAAATTCTTTAGTCTGACTTTGTGCCACCCTCGTTAGAACGAATGGCCAAGGTCTTTAACCATCTTTTCAGCTTTGCCAGATAGACTTTTCTGTAATGTTGGCATTTTTTCGCTGACTGAAATGTTCGCCTATCTACCATAGATATGAAGACTGTTTCCACGATTCATAGTCATTCTTATCTTCCTCGAAAAATGTGGGTAGCTCTATCCCTTTCAACCTGACAGGTGGAATTCTAAATGAAGGCTGCTCCTCTTGCACTTTGGAGTCAGCGTGTAGACTGGCCATCTGTTCAGCTTCCTCTGATCTCATGGTGTTCTGTGCTAGTGCTTTCCTTGACTCTTCAGTACGTTGCTTGGTCAATTGAAATTCGGCACTCAGCCCCTCACGAGCCTCCTCGGCCTCCACACGCTTTTTTTCGAAAACAGGTGACTCCAATACCACTGAGGTATGATCACTAGTCTGAGAAAGAACCGAAGAAGAAAGACAGATTCTGCTTTTACATTGGCAAGATTTTTCATCGCATGGGTTTACGCGGTCTCTACGCATGAATCGACTGCAGCTGCTGTCTCATTTTGTTCTCGAAGACCTCAATAATTGTGTTACTGTTTTCGTTTTCTAAGCTGACAGCATATGCTTCTTTTAACTCACCGATGATTTTCTCAATGAGTTTAGGTCTCCTTGACTTTGTAACTATATTGCCTTCCGAGCAGCATTCTTACAAGATAATGGATCGTCCAGACGAGTTTTGAGCAAGTCATTAAGTTGATTCTTAACCTTAGTAAGTCTCGTCTTCGCTGATTTCTTGATCCTTTGGAGCACCGGACTCCGTCACACCATCTTTACAGCGTTGTTGTATTTTCTTTCGGGTCATAGCTTTCCTTCGGTTGGTCGCTACGCTCATCATATTGTCCACATTCGATCTTCGGTCATGAAATTCCTGACTGTGTCTACTCTGTATTCCGGCTCGAAGGACCACAATTTGTTCTTGATACTAGAACAGTTGAATAACCGAGGAGAAGTCGTCAAATAAAATAATTTATTGAGAGGTCTAAACATAACAAAACCAAGATGGCCGCGACAGAAAAAATGATAATACCGAGGTCCGCAATCCTCGGCAGCAAAAACACAAAAGGGCGGGAAAACCAATGATATTTGAACCAATCTATCTATCCATAACATTGCATATTCACTTCAGTTGCTCCGTCGAAATTAGCCGCGAAGTTTCAAGACTTTTAACGGAAAGTTGGAACCGAGGACTTTTAACGGAAAAGTTGGAAATCGGGATGGAACGGAAAGTTTCCGTTCCATCCCGATTGAGATAGACCTTTTAGAGCTCAAAATGAAAAGAAAATTCGCTAAATAATACTAGTTTCAAAAAACAATGAGCATGTAGCCCTTTCTAACGACAAAAATTAGTTTTACAGTTTACGATACTTCATTCCCAAACGCGATGTGAATCATGGCTCAAAATAAACAAATGGGGCTTGGCGAAGTTGGGAACTCTTCTTTAAAACAGTAAATATTATTTTTAAGTGTTGACATGTCCCAAAAGTGTTGTTCAATAGAAGATTTTGTTTTATAATATCATAGGCGACAAATTACACCTTAATTTTGGCGCGAGATTTCAGCGATAATTTTTAATTTCTTGCGAAATTTCAAAATTGCCATTGTAACATCTCTCGTATCTCGATCAGAGCCAAGATGGCGTCGAGATTTAAGACGGTGACCCTTGAAGAAGTTACAAAATTAAAAGAAGCGGCCGAAAATTTAAATACGCGAAAGAGCACAATTAACTGGGTGTGAGTTTTTGAGAAGTGGTGTGACGAAAATAGTCTTGAGAAAAACCTGGAGATGATTCTTCCCGAGCAATTGGATAAAGTACTCGAGCAATTTTACGCCTCCGTGTGAAAACAAGACGTAATTTTTCACCCACGATATTAAAAGGTAATCAAATGGTTTTCTCGTGAAATTAGAAAATAATTTCATGCGCGTTTTTTCAAAATTCTGATAATTTCCCTCGCCTAGGGAAATTATCAGAATTTTGACAAAACGCGCGTGAAATTATTTCCTAATTTCACTTGTTGCCTTTTGATTACACATACAAATCCTACAGTTTTCAGAATTTTCGACACAAAGCTGTTATTTTCTGTCCGTAAATTCTAGTAAACAACAAATCTACCACACAGGTCCTGTAAGTGCAGGAAATTTGTAAGTTCTTCCCTTCGTTTTTCGAACAGTAGATTTTATTTGTGTTGAAATGTCCTGAAAGTATCGTTCAGTAGGAGACTTTAATCTACTAGCAGTCGCGTGGATGCAAGAAATTCGGTCGTTGTGAGCGGACAATTTACAATAATTTGAATGAATATTTTGTCTCGAAATATTTCTTGGTGGTTTTTTTCATGTCATTTATTGGTAGTTTTTGGGTAGAACACGATTGTGTGTCTTCATGCTATGTTATAAATATTCAGTTCATGCGTTTAGCCGTGCGTCACATCCGATTTCACTATGAGGCAGACTTTTTTGCAAATTTTTTAAAACAGTAGCGACGACGCGCATAGCGAAAACTTGAAACGCTTAATTTTCATTTCTTACATAATTGTTATCAACGTGAAGGTAAAAGAGATAAATTATTCACGGTAGCTAATTTGACAAAGCTGACTTTTCAAACAGCTTCATGATGATTTTCCACACTCAATCACAAGATAATAATTACACCACGTGTTTCACATGGTTTAAAAACCATAAAAGGGAGACTTGAAATAGACGAAAAACAACAGAACAAGCTTTATCTCTCAGTCCTAGGCCCAATGGCTTCCTCGGTGTCCACAGATGAGACAACTAACTATGCACGACTGTGCCGTCTTCTGGTGGATAAGGGATCTAAAGCATTAAGAGATACTTTTGATGGCATTCACCCCCCTGCAGACCTCCACAAAGTGTTAACGCAGCCTCCGCATAATGCAACTTTAAATACTCTCAAGACGAAAAAGATTATCAATTCTTCACAATGGGGAGATCTATTTCCAGCGGTCCAATCATCTGTTTCATCAAAAAGATTTGATGTGACGCTATTAATGGTTCTGCTAAGAAATATTTGTAGGCTGGCACAGCCGGCCACTGGCTGGGACAATCTTCCTCCTGATTCAGACAAGAGTAAAGAAGCTAATATAGCCCGAATAAAGTACTATCGTAATACTGTTTATGGCCATGCCAGCCAAGCGTCCGTCGATTATGCTACATTTAACAGCTGCTGGACAGCTATCAGCAATGCAATAACAGGACTGGTGGGGGAAAAATACGAAGCTGATATGGAAAACCTTCGGGTTGGGTCCATGGATCCTGTTTCAGAGGAACACTATAAAAAACTGTTAAGGGAGTGGAAGAAAGACGAAGACAGCGTCAAAGAAAGGCTTGAGGAGATAGACGGTATGTCGACATGTTATATAACATGACTTAAAGAAGTAAAACCATAATTCAATGTATGGGAACTACATGTTATGAGTTGTTATAAATAAGGCTAATTGACGATTATTGGAAGGAAAATCGAACCTGAATCTTAAACTAGTTGAGTTCACTTGCTCTTGACAGTTAGTAAGGTGCAGTTACGCAGATGACATAGGATGGTCTGAAACCACTTATGTTTATATCAAATGCTTCCCCTAAAACCTCTACTTGGGAAATGATCATTATATGGATTCACTTCAATATTGTGTGGGGATATTGCCTTTGTGTAAGGTCGTGTGGTGACCGAATAGAAAACTTGCGGTGAAATTTTGGGGGTTTAAGGTTAATTGATCTGCATTTTTCTTTCAATTAGAAAACGTGAGAAAAGGCCTGGAGCAGATAAAAGGTGACATGGGAAAGGAACTAGAGCAAATAAAAGGTGACATGGGAAAAGGACTAGAGCAGATAAAAGGTGACATGGGAAATATTGGAGAGAAGTTGGAAAATTTCATGTACCGAACAGAAGAAATGGAAGATGAAGGTCAGACATGTATATTACCTTTTACCTATCTGTTGCAACTTACCAAAAAGAATTATAAAACAGAATGGAATCCCTGGATTCAAAGACAAAGAAATTTTTTTCTTTTTATTTCGGTAATCCTCGAACCACCGCCTTCCCCAAAGAATCTGCCAACAAACTGTAAGCCTTTCGCGCAGGAGAATATCGGGCAGATCCACCAGTGATGTTTTCTTTTAAGCAACACGACTCGGAAAATTTCCTTCTTCAATTCGATGAAAAATACGCAATTTCTAATTTAAAACTGAATGGGATTATCTGAGCGTGTCCACCTCTGAACCTCTTCTTCCTCTACGTTATATTTCCATTAAGGAAAACCTTTTCTTTGTAATAGACCTGAAAATCTGAGTGGTGTAATATGATAAAAAATTTTTAGAACCGTCTCCTCACAAATTTTCCGTGGCTCATCTTAAAATTATCTTTGGTTCATTTTTTTGGTTCAATCCACTTTCTTGAATTTGCATCTAGCCTCAAGTTAAACTGTCCAATCATTTTCAATTTTGAATATGCAGAACCAAGAGCAGGCAACAACGTCAACAACTTTGACGTCCAAGTCTATGTTAGCCTTCCTATTACTACAGCAATGCCTCCAAACCCAGGTCTACAGCCACGGAAAGGTACTTATTCCTAAGATTCCAAATCCATTACGTGATAGATCTGATTGAAAAGTTAGTTTTTTCTTCTGATTTCTCTCCTATTCATCATACATTTATAAATTTTAGAAGATTTTCGTATCAAATAGAATTTTTTCTTTTTGATTTCCTAGATTGTTTCTTTTGTACCTCTATGTTATATATCTTACTCATTATGAATCGCATTTATTGTTATTTTGCATTCCAATTATCATTATTATTATTATTTTCATTTTATCTTTAGTGTATTGTAATTATTATGTGACGGTGCATTTGAATATATATACATAGAATTTGGGCCTTAGAAGTCAATAAATGGATAGAGCGCTGGACTGTTGTGCGGGAGGTCGAGGGTTCTAGCCCCAGCCGGACCAACACTCAAGGTCTTAAAATAATTGACAAGAATATGCTGCCTTTCTATAATATCAAGAAACGGTTAGATATTCTAGTCTTCTCGGATAGGGACGAATAAATGGAGGTCCCGTCTCCTGCAGGGTTATGAGTAGGAGACGTTCATTTCCCACGCACGAGATTACTGTGTGATGGATGTCCTCCCCTGGGGTGGTTGGGTTGGTTACTGGGCCCGCAGTAATTGGCGCATAGCTGTTTGCGGTGTCCCTGCCTGTGGGCAAATCTTGTAAATACAAACATAAATAAAATACATTATTATAGTTATTACTACCGGTATACCCTTCTAACTTGAAAAAACTTTCGTTTCAGATTTAGAATTTTTCGGACACGATTATCCAGGTCAGGTGATACACCAAGTTCAAAATTTACCTGGTTCACCTCGTTTGTCCCTTTCAAGTCAAAATGAAGATAATACCCGGCAACATGAAAATCAACGTTGCGAGAACAAGGACTCGCCGCCAGTTAACGGCACCTCGGCAAGCACAGGTAAAAAAGAAATTATTTAGTTTTGAAAATCTGATTACAATTTTGAATTAACGTAACTCCTAAATTTCTGCGCCCACTTAGCAGAGGTTTTTGTTGAAAAAAAAAGTGATTTTAGAATGATTCAGTAGTAGTTACTGCAGTGGTAGCAGAGGTAATATTATTAGATGTGGTAGAGGTAGATCTACTAATACTGAGTTGCAGTAATAGAAGAAGTAGTAGTAACACTGTCAGCACTATTAGCAATAATAGTATGACTATTATCTGTTAAAAAGCTAAAATTAAAGTCATTTACACCGACTTTAAAACAACGAACTCCGAATGTTTTGCATTAAAATCAAAACTCTAAAACTGTTTACACAAAAACACTTTTCAGTTGACACTACCGTAACGTAATTCTTTGCATTTTGAGTTTATGAAATCATTGACAGACCGTTCGATTAAACCTTTATTCCTGGCAAAACGATTTTCATTTCAGCCGAAACATTTACCTCAAGGTTTATTTAAGGGTGGGGGTTCATGGAAAATCAAAGGGGTTTCCCTCATTTACTTGCTACCTCAGTTATGCTATCCTAACTTGAATGCAAATTTTTTTATAGATGTAGAATCTCCGGGATACGATTATCCAAGTCTGGTCGCGGTAACACAACCACCTCAACATCGTCCACCTCTTCCATCCCTTCCGATTGAAAATGAAGAAGATACTTATTACCTAAGTCTAAAATGGCAGAACGAGGACCCGTTACCGGGTAATGGCATTTTCGTTAGCACAGGTAAAACGAAAAAAAACTATATAATTCGTTTGTTTTTCTCCTTAATGAACAATCCATAATTACGACAAAACCTTTTACAAGTGGACACCTGAGGGCAACCCCATTGTAAAGTTTGCAAGTTAGATAACACCCATTGTAAAGTTTGCAAGTTAGATAACACCCATTGTAAAGTTTGTAAGTTAGATAACACCCATTGTAAAGTTTGCAAGTTAGATAACACCCAATTTCGTTTCCTATGTTCACTTTTATATTAACATAGATGTTTGCTGGACAAACGCAAACTCACGTTTGGAACCTACGATTGCAGCCGAACAAGAGAGGCAACTGCATCAATTCCCAACAGGCTTCCCACTTCTCTTTCTAATGTTTTTCGTGGCTTATGGAGGGTAGCAAGGGTGAAATCTCCATGATTAAACGGTTAAGACTAAGTTAGTTCGCTCTAGTTGCTGTTATTTTGTTGTAATCGGTCATCCATACTAAACTACGCCAGACCATAGTGGTTAGGTTTACCAAACTAAACCAAACTCACAGCACCTATACCGTCCCACAGCTATAGACATACGGCAACTAGAGCGAGCTACAACAACAACGTTACACGATCAGAACTAAAATGATTTTACTAATCACACAGTCTGCACTGATCACACAGTCTGCACTGATCACACAGTCTGCACTGATCACACAGTCTGCACTGATCGCACAGTCTGCACTGATCACACAGTCTGCACTAATCACACAGTCTGCACTGACTACACTGATTACTCGAACGAAAAAACAAAATACGCCAATCCTAGTAACTGCACTGGTGACAGCGCCAGCAACATCAGCCACACAAATAATGCTGACTTCAACAAGTGTATCAGCAACTCACACAGTAAATTATTAAAACTTGCGCTTTACTAGTGACAGTAATGATGTGATTATTCACAACTAATGAAATAAACCATAGTTTGGCCAGTAAATAATATACAGGTAAAGAAATGATCCTTGCAGATCAGGTGCAGATAAAAAAATGGAAAAAAAAAAGGATGATACCAGGGTGAATTCAAGCTCCGAGAAATTCGAACCAATACCTACCGATAGGTACTTATGGGCTCTAATACCAACTGAGCTACGCATCCACATTTTGGAAGACAGAAAAATTTCAAAACGTTGGTCATTCCCGTAAAGGGATCCGATCTCAGTTACATGAAAGGAATCATATGTATTATACTAAGGATCATAGAAAGGCCACTTGTCTCCAAATTCTTAAATTGCAGCTCAACTGCCAGGATCACTTGGTTACTTGAACAAAATTATCACCGTTGCTAAGTATTTTGAAATTAAATGCACAACTTGCAATGCATACTTAGCATGCACACTCATTCTTGAGGTTTGATTTCCCTTTCGAAAAAAAAAGGCCATCGTCGCTTTTCCGTACTTGTAAAAACCCTCAAGAAATCATAAGGCATTTAGATGTGTAACTACCTTTTGCAATGGCTCTCCCTCTCTGTTTTTTTTTTTGGAGTTTTGGCTGTCTTCCCCTATTCGTCTCGTTCAGTGAGTTTTTCACGTTAATTTGAGCTTGAGCTGACCTCGTATCATTAATCTCTGTGTCAATCTACTTTTATGAGTGTTTAAATTGTCCCGGCCTTTGTCTTCTCCTACATTTACAAAATTGAATGAGTAGCTAAGGGGAGAACAGAATCGTTTGCTTAAATAACCTAGAAATAGACTTTTTCAGCCTTCTGTGAGCTCGGCTCATGAAAAATACTTCAGGAGGACCAGAATGGCGTCGCGTACTCAGGAAACTAAATGAACTAATTGGTAGCTTCGTATACGTGTTATGGAAGGCTGAGAACTAATTAGTTTGTGTGAATTGATATGCTCAAGTAACTTGTACATGTTTTGATTTTGTTCGATTCTCAGGAGACTCAGATGAAGCTAACTCATTCCTTGAGAATGTCGAACAGGCCATCAAGGAGTTCGACAGCATGAATGGGACAACGAAGGATGAAAGGGAGCAGTGTATTCTTCAACTCGTCTTACCAAATCTGGAAGAGAAATGGAAAAAGTCAAGCACAAATAGAAGGAAAATTTACATTGATTTGGTACAGATTGGCTGCAGCAGAACCAGCCCTAACACTGTGAGGCATAGTCTCCGACAGTTGCTCCGTTTGATGCTATTGGACAACCTTGAAAGTGGAGACTACAACTTGCTTGGTCTAGAGAGCATTATAAGATTGTCGATAAGCTCCCCTGATGCAGTTTTTAAGGAAGAAGGACATCAAGAGAGACTACTCAGACTGTCTGTGTACAGTCAGACTCTTGCGTTGTTGATTATTCAGAAGTGTCAGAAATGGCTCTCCTCTGATGATATTACGCGTGAATTGTTACAGTTACGGGGACATTTGGGAAAATCTTACAACCAGACGAAGGATCTTTTTCACTACTCAATGGAATTCATCACGCAAGCCATTAGATTTTTAGCACAAAAAAGGAAAAAATTTGAGAAATCCGATGTAATGGCTTTCCTTAAAGAATGTAAAGAATCGTTTGATCCGCATTATGCAGGAAACGGAGAGTTAACATTCATACAGATATTGAAGAGCCCCAAGAGTAATAAAAGAAAATGGTTTGCTTTGCATTGTGTCATATGGTATCTTTATTTTAAGGTAGGTCAAAGGCAGTATCACGGTCGGTAGATTTTGAAATTTTTCTGGGAAAAGAAAAATGAGAAGAAAGTGCGCAGTAGCTATTTGATAGATCATTAATGAAAATGTCCTATTCAAAATTCATGCAAGATTTTGTTTGTACTATCTCAGTTGATGTTGCTTTGTCAGTCGTTCGACAATCCTATTTTCTATTTTGTCTGACGGAAAAACTTCTGCTTAAATTTAGTTTTTAATGAAGCCAAAAGAAGCTCAAATCAAGTTAAGTCTCAACGGTCGTTCCTTTAGCAAAGAGCATATGCCAGTAAGGTATTATTGACTGAGTCGCCTCCCAGCGCAATGTGTCGCTTGAGAAACCGGACATTTCATGAAAACACACAAACTAAAATTAAACAGGATTAACAATCTCATTTGTATCATGTTGGATATCTGTTTCTATCCTGATTTATTTCAGACTTACAATGAGGACACTAATCATCGATTGCAGACAGACAGACAATCAGTGCTTTTATTACGGAGTGTGATTGAAGCTTACAGCGTAGGAGATGGCAAAAAGAGGTCTGGAAATGACTGGAAGTTTTTTGTGCTGGCAGGCTCAGTTTTGTCGGACATCACGATGAACAACATAAACAGGGGTAAGAAAGGGTTTTCAATATAACATTACCTCTTAAAATGATCTTTTTGATGGGATCTATTTCCTAACCACAACATTAAATCATCCCTTTCCGAAGAAAGAGACAAAAATCCAAACTCTACAGAAAATATTTATTAAACTTGTTAAATGAACCACAGCATTTGGCTAAAATAAAAACACCGAAACTTCATAAAATTCCTTACTATTTCCTATATAAAGAAGTCACACATTTTAAGACCACCGTCTCTTCTCTCTCTTTTTTTTTTTTTTCACTTGTGAAGGTTTACCTTTCCAAATAAAGTTGAACTTTAGCTTGTGTATTTTTCTTGTGTAAATCTCAGGAATAGTAAGCACAGAGGGGTTGTAAATTAGTTTTGGGATGCCAGGTGTGTTAACATTGTTAATCCTTCCATAAAAACTAAGGCTTCTTCGTTGCCAGATATTTACAGCTTCTTTGTGCTTGCTATTATTGGTAATTTTAGTAGTTTAGCTATCGACTCATTGTTCGGAACAAATATTACTGTATCATATGTGTAAGTCTTGTATTATTTTTATCTGTTGATGCGACCAGCCTTCAACTATTTCGTTTATTTGTTTCTTGTATTACATAAGTCTTTAATTCACATTATCTAGGTAGTTTTTTATTCTTTTTGTAGAAAACAGAATAGATGCTTGTACCTGTTTGCTGAACTTGGTGAAAAAGGGAGTTTGGAGAGGGATCCTTGAACCTCTGTCGCGACAGGTGTTGCTTAGCCCAGACAGTTACGTTCGTTCGTTAATGGCAGATGCGCTGTGCACTGAAGACAATTCGTGTTGTGCTATAACTGAGGGGCATCACATCGACCACCTTGTGACGAAATTTCCAGCACTTGAGGTTAACAACGAAATCATCAGTCGAAGTGATCGATGTTTTGTAATAAAGGCAGTATTCAGTGGAAGAGAAGCTGTCCTGAAAGTGATGTACGTCACAAACCAGAACGTTAGGGGGAGGATGCCGTCAGATTGCCAACAAGCAAATCTGCGCTTCATCCGAGAAGCTTATTTTCTAAGTCGCATCCAACGGCATCCAAATTTCCCTATTCTTCTCAGTTACAACACGGAGACGTTGCCGTATCATCTCATCACTGAATACGAAAGTCAAGGAAACCTCTTGCAGCTACTTCAAAGGGCGCATGATCAACACTCCCGGTTGGAAGAAAATTTGCTTCTGCAAATGCTCATTAACATAGCTGATGCACTTCGATACTTGGAAAAACTGCACTTGGTGCACCGTTCTGTTATGGCAAAGAATGTTCTCGTAGGGGATGACAACGTTTGCAGACTTAGTGGCCTCCATTCCTTACGACCAACAGACTGGGGTCCATTAACTGAAGGTGAGTCGTACAAGTAAACTGACAGTATCTCAGTAGCTTTTGTATTAGCTGACAAGTACATGTATACGTACGTTTGAGTGAAGAGGCTAACGCCCCAATGATTTTAATCTCTATAGAGAAGGCCAGCCATTCCGGAAAGAGAAGAATGTCGATTCATTTCAATTAGCGTAAAGTGCATTCTTACGAGATTGCCAAATCGTTCCTTAGATACACCGAAGAATGCAAACCCATTGATAAAATATAAGAACTGGACACTCCTGTTAACTGGGTCCGGGAGTTTTCTCCTTCAATGTTTATCACATTGTTCGACTCTATACCTTTTGCGAACTTTGTACTTTTTCACCAGCTGAAGATGTCAACGATGACCTCCCATTGAAGTGGAAAGCTCCTGAGTGCTTACTGGAACATCATTACTCTACAGCGTCTGACGTGTGGGCGTTCGGGGTCGTTATGTACGAAGTACTAACCCTTGGTTATTCTCCATTTGGAAATTTAAGCGATAAAGATGTCTACAATTATGTAAGCAATGAAAGTGGGAAGAGCACTGTTGACCGAGGGCAGGATTTATCGACACTTTCATATTGACTTATGTAATAATAATGATAAGATTTCTTTTCTCGGAGTTGTTCTTACAAGTAGAATATTTGCTTTCAAAGCTGGTTTGGCAGAAAAAGGGCTCTTCGACAACACGACTTGACATGACGAGACTACTACATCTTCCTTTAATTCATTAATCAAGCTTCGGAGTCACCATCTTTCTTATTTTTTTAAGTTATGCGAGGTTTTTGACATCGTAGATCCTAACAGTATGTGGTATGAGTGTCACATATTAACATAGTGATGGCCTCACCCGCTAGCGGAGTCCGAGATTCTTAGGTTTAATTCCTCTGTGGAACTCAGATACTTTATACACCCAGTGATTCGGCTTTCTTATTCATTATCAGTTTAATAAAACAGAGACGCAAACAAATTGTACCCTTAAAAAGTTTCGAATAATCATTGCCCGGTGTGGAGTGGAGTGAACAAGTGTGCAAGGACTGCAATTTTTGTGTGGCGATGAAAGAAACTGTTGGACAAATTGAGCAAAATTTGTATACTGGTGATGCCATTGTCTTTTTGCTTGAGAGTTGCTAGTTTTGAAGCTCAATCATAAACCTCGTAAATGAGACGTAATTTTTATTTTATTTACGTATCACCTTTGCAGGTTACGATGGGAGGAACACCGCCTCTTGGAGCGTATTTCGAAGATAACGAAAACAACCTCATGAAACAGTGCTGGGAAAGGAAAAGAAGCGAGAGAATCAGCTTTCCAAAGCTATCCAGCAGACTCAAGAAGATGAATGCAGAGCTGAAAACAGCAGGTGCCCATTGTTCATAGTCTAATACCAACGCCCTACTGACACCAAAGCTAAATCACACGTTAAAGCTGTGTTTAAACAAGACCTGAACTATTTTAAAAGGAAGAATTTACGATGTAACCACGGATGTAACGAGCCGTGTTCACTCTAGTACAAATAAACTCTGACAACGTTGATCCTTGGTGGGATAATCTTGAAAATGAGTGGCACTTTTAACCATAGGAGCGAATCATTTTATCTGAATAGAGCCTGCTTACACTAATTTTTGTTTACTTGATGACATCATGAAAATGTAAGAAAATGTCTCAGCCGACGCTTGACTGTTCTCAACACTTTAATCCACGAAACTCAGCTTAGACGCTAAACTCTACAGCCAGTGGGTCGCTCTAACATTCGACGACTTAAACACACACTTCAAAAAACCTCCGTCGTCTCTATATATTCTATGTAAGAAATACAAAAAAATGAAATTTAGTTATTACTTGAACTGTACGTAAACGTTAGTTTATCACTTTCCTATCGCTTAACTTTTACTTAGTTAAACTTGTGTAACTTCACAAGTTTTCCTTGTGCGAATAATGCATAAGCTCCAAACATGGGATCCCGAAGAAAGTTTGGAATTGATACTATACAAATATATTGCTGATTAAATATAGCTTGTTTCCAATGAGTATGTTTAGATTCTGTTCTTTGCAAACTTTTGAATCCGAGTCAAGGATACTGAAACAATTAAAGCGAAACGTTTACACTCAAAAAGCAAAATGACAAGAGAATTGTTAAAAAATGCATTTTAAAATAAAATAAATGTTTAGAGATGAGACGATGTGTTTTGAGGTAACGTTTCTACTGACAATTTTCAATATTCAAACGCATAAAAGACAGGGGGGTAAGTTCCATCCACCACCGCGAGATGCGTCAGCTGGCTTGTACACTGTACATTCGAAGATTAACCTCGAAAGTCATCAGTCATAATTCCAGGAAGATTTCAGATAGAGGATTTCAATTTGCCCCAGCCTCTGCTTAATCCGAGTTACACGATTATGTACGTTCGCCTAAAGTAATCTACTTATAAACTTTTACAATCAAAGGTGTTGCAAGAAGGAAGTCAAGGCCTGATCTGCAACCATCCCTGGCAAATCCAAAAGTAACCGCGGAAAGGGAAGGTGAGAGAATTCTAGTTCTAAAGGTGCATTGAAATATTAGGAGCATGGAAATACTAAACACAACGATATGGAGCTTGATTTAATACAAGCTACAAGAAGAAGAGTAATTCCTGTTTACTGTTAAACTAACAGCGAAGACAAATATACTTCGAAACTTGGTTTACTTAGACGATCTTAGACTTCAACTAATGGTTTTTATCGAAGATGAAAACCGTTTCTTTTTCCCTGTCTGGTGACTTACCTATATCATGTAAAACTAGCATCAGAATTTCGAATTCTTTTTCTTCGACTATGAACCTACAGTTTCTATATGTTACGAAAGATTACTCGCCCTCAATCAAATTTTGGTTTGCTCTACTACTAAGTTTTGTCAATTTATATCCACAGACACTAATTCTTGTCTTTCACACACTTTCACAGACGATGCCTCGTATACGATGAGAAAGGTAAGTCACTAACTAGTAGAGTGAACAAGACTAAGCGTTTCTATCAAGGTTGAAAATTTTTAGGCTGCTGTTACAGATATCAGAATTAAGCAAGCCAAAATGAATTCCATTGAAAAACCTGGGGCTGGACTGAAGCCTTTTTAGTTGTGGCACTGGATAGTCAAGAAGATCTTGACTTCGGAGAGCTCCCTCATTAGTTTAATTGATTTTTCACATAGATTCATACCTGTGAAGCTGGGCAGTAGCATGCAACTTTAAAGCATTTCGAGAATTTGCAAAGCTGGGGTTTATTAAGGTGCGAGACCAGGCAATACGAATCACAAACAATATCAGCCAACAAGAAAATGGACAAAGAATTGAACAAGTCATTATTCTCAGTAAATAAACATGCAAAGTGTCCTTTTTAAGTAAGGGAAAATCACTTATAACATTCATTAATTAGGTCTCCGATCTTTATGTTTTCGACACTCCGATTATCTCGATCAGTTATTTTCTATTTTACATCTCTAGAGCGATCCATTCGATTCCACTGCATTTCGCCATTTACGTTCGCCAAATTTAAAATTGGACACCCAAAGCTTATCGAAATATTCTTCGAGCCTCTTATCAAGGATTATAACATTAATGCCAAATTCTGCTACAAATCTTAGTTTCATGCATTTATGCTTCGCTTCGGTGAGCTTTTAATCCCCAGCTTGATTGTAAAGAACATAACGGGAAGTGAGATGCTTCGAGGTAATATACTTCTGCCCTTAGTTGATTTTATTGTTTCAGGAAAGTTCACGTGTTGTGGAGAAGATCACGGCTAAAGATATACTTTACCATGAACCGTTGAAAAAGCTCAGCCATCCAAACATCTCCATTTCCCTATTTTGGACGAAGAGCTCTCCAGAAATTGAAATAGTACGTGATAATTAAAGAGGACAATTAAGGAAAAATATTTGCATAACGTACGAGGGGTCTCATATAACTGTTGTATTTAGGACTCTGCTCTCAGTACGACGTTGACATTTCGGACCAGCACTAGTTTTAAGATCACGCAGTTACTTTGCATCAATCGACCGTGATTTTCGCTATTCTTGGACGCAGCTGCTGAAAACTGAAAGTGTTTGCGTGCTTCTAAGGTATTAACCATGGACATACAAGGAGAGTGATAGATTAGACTAAAACAGGGGAAACAAGAAACATACCTTGCCGCTGCGTTCACCTACAAGGAAATAGCATTACTTACTAACCAGGCCCCTTGCTCCACGTAGAGTTTAAGCCCTCGACGTCATTTCTCCACCGAACTCGGCCGAGCCTCGAAACCCTGAGAAAATTTGGCTGGTCCGATCTGAATCGCGTACATTGGTAAAAGATATTTCAGCCGATCTATCCTTTACTTCTATTTACGTTTATACTTTGAAATCGTTTAAGAGTTGAATTTGAAAGTGCTTCTTGAACCTAGCCTTTTTGCTATTGATCTCGCTATCAGGTGACGCCTCCATGGCGCCAGGTACGCAGGCTGGGCGTTCGAAGTGTTGAAGTTTTGCGATAAAATTAATTTGATGATTAATATATCTACCTGTTGTATATTGATTTCCTGCCCTTACACCGGCCTGTCAATTGCCTAGTGAACAAACTCTACTCCTCCTTTTGTCACAAGTTGGGCATCAGCAAAAGGTGTTCATTGCATTTTACACCACATTGTTTTTTTTTTAATGCAATACTCTTCAACTATAAAAACAGTAGGCAAATGTAGCCATACACCGCCTTTTCTTTGTTGTTGTCATTAATTCGTGAAATCCTATCTTCGATCTTTCAATTTGTCAGCTGAGGCATGTTTCTAGATTTCTCCAAAGTTAAGTCTATCTTTTTAAAGGTAATCCTTTGCGTGACTGAGAAAATTGAAATCGGCGAAAATGTAAAATGTAATGAGCCCTCCGCCACCGCGTTGAATTCATTTTTACGCTTCGCTTCCCATAGTTTGCAATTGTGTAGTACTAGGAGTTCTTTTCACCGATTTTTAACATCTTGCGCGATGGATTTCACTTGAAAAAAGGTATCGTTTTTAGTCTTATTTTGCTTCCTTTTATCAGATTTCTATGAGATGCGATCTCGGGAACCTTAAAGATTACGTGATCAGCGGAAGAAAAGGAGGCTCTTGCGAGAGAGGCGACTTATTTATATTCCTATCCCAGGTAGCATCTGCGCTCAATTATCTCCATACTGAGCATATTGTTCATGGAAACCTCCGCGCCGAGCACGTAAATGTTGTGAGTTCTAAACAGGTACGATCTTCATATTTGCGGTCAAATCCTTTGACACTGAAAGTTACAGTTTATCTCGCAGTGCAAGAGTGCCATGCACTTTGAAAGTCAATTTAAAAAAAAAAGAAACTCGATGACCTAATTTAAGGATGGGCAACATGCCTTTTTTTTCTGAAGGTGGCTCTTTGAGCTTTGTGAGATGAAGAGTCACCTTGTGGATATACTAACAATAAATCTTTATCATCATCATCATCATCATCATCATTATTATTATTATTATTATTATTATTATTATCATTATTTTAACTGACCAAGATTAATAACGCAGAAGGCCTGGATGCATCAAGTTCTTATTCCCCTTCATCCCTAGACATCTTCCACATTTCAAATGTGAGTCGATCAAACTAATCATTAATCTTGACAGCAAACCTCGAGGATTAACAGAGAAAAAAAAGACTGAGCCTACAAATTTTAATATCAGTCTATATACATCGTAATCAAGCAAAAAGTCCAATAAAGGGATACATTTACATAATATCATTATATGTGGCGAACTTTGAATTGAATAATGCAAATTTTCCCATCAATATTTTTTTACTGTTTTATCAAAATACTAAGTGACTTGCGAGCGCCATGGCCATGAGGTCCAATATGATCCCCGCATTTTATGACATATATAATTGTTAGTAACAGGTCCAAATTTCTCAGCTAGCTCTTTGAATTCATACAGGTTCAGATTACCCATCTTGGCCGATCCAAGCGTTTGTCAACAAGACCAGATGAGGAAACCAGCAAGGGTTGCTGGGAAAAGGCATACATGCCACCTGATTCTACTCGCTGGTTAGGAGCTACAAAGCCTCATTTTGCCAAAAGCACAATAATAAACATCTCACACTTTCACTCGTAAGACGTACATGTGTAACGTGATTGCCCGGATTTATATCAGAGTAGTTACTAAGTTCTAATTTTAGACTTAATTATGAAATTTCCTTGACGTGAACCAACTTTTTCTTTGAGCTGTACTTCCAAAGTTCTCCAAGAATGATCTTTAGCAGCAAATTCTAGCTCTTTGGAGAGCTCACGCTATCGCATGCGGTTGTGCCTCTGTCACATTCCGAGCCAAAAGTACTGTTTGGAAGCGAAACGGGAAATCCAAAACTTTAATTCCAACACGGTAAACTGTAGACTCAGGGTAAACGACAACGACCATTAAACAAAAACTACCACTCGACAAACTAAAAACTTCTTAAACTCCCTCTAAAAAAAATCGCACACGTCAAAATTAAAAGGTCCGCGTGATTTGCTTAGGATTTTTATTAGCCGACGTAGTCCCAAAGCACGCACAAGCGAGTCGCACGGCACAAGTTCATTAATGTCTTCTTAACAAGTACAGTGTTGATTTGTTTTAGTAGTGAAAGCTCAACAAAGTGATTGCAAAATTGGTGTTTCTGTGTTACCTTTTGTTTGAGTGTCTTTTCATCGGAGCGGGAAGTGTGGGTGTCCAAAATAACAAAAGTTTCGACTGTCTTTCAGGAGCGCGCCAGAGGTGATATCTCAGGGACAGTACAGTCACGCTAGTGATGTGTGGTCATTCGGTGTCCTAGCATGGGAAATATTTGCAGCGTTTCATGATAGCAACATGATGCCACGACAAACGAGACCTTACTATAACCATACAAATGACGAGGTAACTCCATGTAAAATACTTCAGTTAAAAATACCGATCTCACAGGGGATGTGCATGCTAAAAGAATCAACGAAACATCAAGATAAAAAAACCACTGTGACGGCTGGTTGCTACCGAGGAACCTTAAAGAAGAAATTAGAGGCCACTGTGTAGAATACAAGCTTTTTTTAATGTCACATTAGACTATAATGAGGAAAAAATTATTCATAATTTACATGACTTTAATTGGTGAGAACTTGAAACTTCTCATACTCAATAACACGACATCTGTATGACCTTTTTTCAGATTTTGCAGAGTATCAAAAAAAACGAGCAACTAGCAAAACCACTTTCCTGTCCAGACTGGGTATATCTCCTGATTCAAGAATGTTGCTCATATATAGCCGAGGAAAGGCCACCCGCAATTGCTCTCTTTGACTGTCTGACATGCAGGTTAGCAATGGTCTATTAAAGGAAAGTAGGCTTTAGAAACCTTGTAATTTATGTCTCTGCTATTAAATGATATGTTTTAAATTATGGAATTCCAAGAGGCAACCTAACCTCTCAGAAGTTTTTTTGAAGTCTGCCTAGAATTTGACCAAGAACACAGTCATTTGAAGTCTCGTCACATAGACCACAACATCCCACTTTTGTTTTCTCCGTTTCCTGGCAAACTGCACCAGAGAAATGACGTGCGTCTTGACGCATAAGTAGGCGCATTATTATTCGTTGTGGGTGAGCTTTACAAATCAAGTGAAATCATAATACTTGGAAATTGATGCTTTTAGAATGCCAATGAAATCTTGGTTGATGGAAGTTTGTTCAAACAGCCACACGAAAAGGGAGTTGCATGAAGTGTGCCAGCCAGAGGATGCGTGTCACTTGTTACAGGAAAAAGATCGTCCTCGAAAAGAGGACATCGAGAAGATGTGCTTAAAGGGTTTCTTCACAAAATATGAAACCCAATGCATTTACAGTGAAGAAGAAGGATACGAAGACATAAGCCAATTTCAAGAACTAGGTTGTAATTTTAAATTTTCATTTTCAATGCGACTCTCCGGGACATATTTACACCATTTTACTTATTTTAAAGGCACCTTTTCCTGCCATGTCCTGGTGCACCTCCCTCACTGGGTTGTCATGCCACCTCTCATATTCTATTTGGACCAATTCGGAGATTCTACTCACAATATGGCTGACTGGTTCATTTTCCTGGTGACATATTCCATCTTGGTATTCTTTTGGGTCTTTTCGATATTTATTTTTAATGCCTCGTTTTAAGCAGAACTGATAATTTGGGATTCCGCTCAACCATCATCGGGTATTCACAATGCTCTCATTCCCCTCTGGTCGTATAACTTCCCTTCTTTCGCTCTACTCTAATTTCAGCTCTCATTCGTTCTTTAATTCCAGCCTTTGTTGTATACGGAGTTATATACGGAGTTTCCTTTGTCTCGTTTTAATTAGCTACCTAGAGCAACTTCTCGTCACTACGTCGAATGCAACTCCGCAGTGAAATCGTAATATTCATTTTATCATGGAAAGGCCTCTGCCTACTACAAGGTAGCTGTTTCTTATTCATTTTATGCTGATCTCTACCGATTGGTTTAACTCTTATTCTCCTGCAGGTTCGTTCGCTAACGGAGACATACACGCATCTAAAAACGTAGGGCAATGGGTAAGTCTCCTAAGTTGGTAACAAGCCAGAAAATGTCGAGGAGCGAGTGGAATTGAAAACAGATTTCTTTTTTTTAAGATTGATTTCAAAAGATCAAGATCAGTATTTTTATTCTGAAGCATTTGGCAGTGAAGTAAAAATACCGTACATCAACTGAATAATCTGCAGTTGTAACGTCTTGCACAACCTTTGATTCGCTGTTGATGAGTAAAAAAAAAAAGAAAACCCTCAAGGACGTGTTGATTAGGGCTAAGTTATATGTGGCTAAGATTTTACGCTATGCATTTCTTACGAAGTGAACTGAACTTTTCACAAACAACATTTGAACATTTTTGTCTGGTAGTTTCTAGACAACATTAGTCGTTATTTGTTATTCGAGGGGCCTGGCTCAGTCATTCATTATTCATGATCATTGTTCAGCCTCTACCTCCACGTCCATCTCCACCAACATTGGTTAGAGAAACGATCACATCAGAGGAACTTTTGATTCAACTAAACCATCCCCACGTCGTTTGCAGTTATGAGAGGCCAGAATCACCGCCTCTAGTTACTGGGAAGGTAAGATTAAACAAATTGATGTTTAAGTCATTTGACTGAGTGAGGTAAGGTAATAAATTTTGCGGAATAACAGAAGCTGCGCCGACTACGAAGCCGATGAAAAACGGAGTCAACACTATTATCATTTTCAAAAAGAAGCATATAACCTCCAAAAATTTAAGTACGCTTAAAGGCTGGTTTTTATAGAGTACGAGACACGCCAGTGTAATTTTACATCATAATATAGGGTTGATAATCTTAAATGTGCATTTATGTGAAACGGGTAAATATTGGCGATACTGTTAACATTGCGCTGTGGAATTGAAGTTTCTAAATGCTGGGGGTAACCTGTAGCGGACAAGCAGCACATCTAGGGGGAATAGCAATAAACCGAATCACTTCGTCCCATATAAATTAGGATGGTAGAAAATAATCCAAGATCGCGTTGGTCTTCCTTAACTTTGCCCTGTAATTGGTCCAGAAAACTTGGACCACTCTTTTAACCAATCAGATGTAAACTTAAACTAATCACGAATGAATAAAGGCTGATAGTTTCGAAAGAAACTGTTTGGGGCTGCGTCGGTGGGAGTAACGAAACAATTTGGATATATCAACAAAGTTGAAATGGTAAATTGGCCACCGTAACGATTACAAAAGCTGACGTTTCGAGCGTTAGCCCTTCGTCGGAGCGAATA